CCATCCACGTGCAGTCCCAACCGCAGGCCGCCCCAGAGATGGTGGTGATGATGATGATGGGGGGGGGGGACAGTGGACCTCCACCACCCTCCAGGGAACCCCATTTGGTGGCTAAAGACTGGGCTTGGTTCGGGGTGCTTGTGAATCTCAGTTGCCAAGTTGGGGGTGCCCGGAGGGGGAGGGCGAGTGGGGGAGAGGCCCGGAGCGGTTGCTTTCTATGGGATTTAGAGATCCTAGCCTTTTTGGGCTTGGGGGGGCAAAGGCAGGGGGCTTGGTGAGATGTGTTCCGACTTCTGGTAAGAAAAATCCTAGGATTCCACTTCGTTCCTCCCTCCTGACTTTTCCCTTGTCGGCCGCTGGGCCGGTTGCCCGTTCCATCCGGGCCGGCTTGCAAAGGGAACGTGCCGGGGTGTGTATGTGTGTGTGAAAAATTACCCCTTGTATGTTTTTGGGGGGGGTAAAGACCTTTTCTGAGGCCAGCCCGGCGAGCTGATGGGGACCCCTGCCATCTTTGGCTTGAGTTATGGAATGGGAAGGTGGGGGGTGGTTCTATTTATTCCCCAGAAATGTTGCTTCCTTAAAATTTGGCTGGATGGCAAAACCTTTAGACAGGGTGGGCGGCCGAGCCCCGCCAGCTCCGGGCAGCCTGAGATAGGATGGGAGTTTGGGGAAATTAGGACTCGGTAAGAAGACGCGCCAGATTCGATCTCGTCCCCATCCCCGGGTCTTAAAAGCAGCCGCCAAGAGATGCATCATCCAGGGGCGCAGCTCGGGGGATGCGGATCAGGCTGTCATGCCGTGAAAAGAGGCTCGCGTGGGGGACCGTGGGTGGCGTTGGGGGGCACACCGAACCCCCCCCCAGATTTGGGGCCTTGGATCTACGCCACCACCTGTGTTTCTTCCACTTGGTTGTGTCTCCTGCACGAAGTGACACATCCACGGGAACGGTCGTGCGGAAAAGACAGGGGCCTGCCTCCCGACCCACACGGAGGCGTTGTGGGAAACGGGAGCCTGCTAAGGACTTGGGATCAGAGCTACTGTGGATCAGTCGCACCTTACTCTCTCTTACACACATGTGCACACTCTCATACACACGCTCCCCTTTCAAATAAGCCGATGCCCCGCCATCGCGGTCACCAAGAGTCCCGGCCACCGTCGGACGGAGGAGGATCTTCACCCCCGACACGCGCCTCCCTCGGTCGAGGCGCGATTCGGAGCGACCCCGATAGGTCGGGGGGGGGGTCAGAAGAGGCTTCCGACCAGAAAGACAACCGGCCCCTCGTTGCTGTGTTAAACGAGGAAGAACCAGGATTTTTTCAAGGATCCGACGGACACCTCCTCCTGTTCCTAGGTGGGGGACAGAGATCGCAACCTGGCGGTCAGCCAGGGATCCCTGTCCCATTGCTGCACGCCAGCTCGCTCTGCTCTCTAGCCAGGCCACGGCCAGCCTCCGCGCCGCACACGGTTGGGATCTTGTGCTGTTCCCCCGTTTTGATTTTTACCTGGTTCTGGTTTCTGGACCGGTGTGTGCCTTCCTTTCATAACCGGACACTGCCCCACAGGATTTTTTTAAGGATCCGACGGACGCCTAGGTGGGGGACGGAGATCGCGCCCTGGCGGTCGGCCAGGGATCCCTGACCCATCGCTGCACGCCAGCTTGCTCCACTCTCTAGCCAGGCCACGGCCAGCCTCTGCGCCGCACGCGGTTGGGCTCTTGTGCTGTTCCCCCGTTTTTGATTTTTACCTGGTTCTGGTTTCTGGACCGGTGCGTGCCTTCCTTTCATAACCGGACACTGCCCTGATCTCCTGCCATCATTTCCACCCCCACGCCACGCTGTATCGAGATAGCAACCCCCCCCTACTTTCCTCCCCCCAAAATCAAAGAGGCCACCTCGGTGTAAACCCAATAGCAGGATGCGGAAAGGCGTCCCGTTTGATTTTTACCTGGTTCTGGTTTCTGGACCGGTGCGTGCCTTCCTTTCATAACCGGACACTGCCCTGATCTCCTGCCATCATTTCCACCCCCACGCCACGCTGTATCGAGATAGCAACCCCCCCCTACTTTCCTCCCCCCAAAATCAAAGAGGCCACCTCGGTGTAAACCCAATAGCAGGATGCGGAAAGGCGTCCCGTGCGTCGGCGCCTGTTTGCTACCGGAAAGGACCACTGCGGGAGGTAAGTGGAGGACGCCTCTAGGCTCAGATGAAGAGGCTCAGCCTTCCGTGCGCGCACACACACCGCCCAGTCCAGGGCCCCTGCCGCCACCCACCGAGTCCGGGTGGAAACTTCCGTGTTTGCGGGAGGCCGGCCTCGTGATCCCCTGCGCTGGCGGTGGCCTCTGTTTCTGACATTTTTTGGACAAATAAAAGAATCTGTATAGAGAGGCGCCTTCCTGTTTCGTTCCTGCCCGCACCACGCCGAAGCGAACCCGTGGCCTCTTGTTCCAGGTGATGCGGCCAAAAGATGAGTTCGCTACGGTAGGATCCGTATCCGCGGGATGGGAATCCATGGCGTCACTTCTCCGCGGTCTGAAATTGTTGAAAGAATTAGGGAAAAGTTTTTCCACTGGGTATTTACCACAACTGGCCACTAGAGGGGACCAGACACCAACAAATAGCATGTTCTCTGGCTCCCTCTACTGGCAAGTTCTGGTAATACTGTACATGGGTTTTTCTTTTACTATTCTGTATCCGTGTATCGCATTTATGGTTATCTGCGGTTTTCACCATCCACCAAGGGGGACTTGGAGCCGATACCCCACAGATACAGGGGGGTCTTACTATATAGATAGAAACCAAATAAAAATAAAAGAACAAATTTTTAAAAATGCAAAGTTTGGCCACTTGCCTTCTTTTGGAAAGAGCCAGATACCCGCTCAAGAAGCCAAAATGGCCTGGGGGAAGCTGCTGGATTCCATTCTCCTGGCGAAAGTGGCCAGCGATTAAGCATGATGGGAATTGTAATTCAAAACCACCCGGGAAGTTTTCCATTTTGTTAGCTGCTGTTCTGGGGTAGTGTGTCGGTGCTTCACTTCCAAAGCATCTCGGGTGAAGACAGGGAAGGCCTTTGCCTGAAATTCTGAAGCCAGCCACGAGGATAATGGGGGTTGTAGTCTTAATAGAGCAGGAGCCGTAGGAGGGAAAGCGCGTGAACCAAAATGAATTACCTGATTCGGCATGAAAAGCTACTTCATTGAATGATTCCCAGGGAGGACAGTCGGCGACTCTGCTGGGGGATTTTGGGAACTGTAGTGTTTTTTTTTTAAAGGGCTAAATGCAGTATTCGTCCTTAGAGTAGATCCACTGAAATGAATGGCAGTGATTTGTAAACACTAATCATTTTCTGTAGGGCTATTCTAAGGAGGATAAAATGGGGCATCAAGAAGCTTTTCTCTTTTTTTTGCTTCTTGATGCCCCATTTCACAGCTGTAGATGTTCCGCATAAGAAACAATGAAAAAGGTGACATTATTGTTATTGCTCAAGATATTTTGCACTACAAAACCCACAATGCTTTACCATTCAGAATCCACTTGGCTATGGGGATTCTGGGACTTGTAGTTATATATACAGTGTGTGTGTGTGTGTGTGTGTGTGTGTGTGTGTGTGTGTGTGTGTATATATAAAATTTCCCAGGATCCCTCTAGGCAGGGTATTCTGCCTGGGGAGTTCTGGGACTTGTAGTCCAACAAACTTTTATAAACTTTCACTCCTGTCTTTCTACCCAAATTTTCAGTTTAAAGACCATAGCCTGAAATAGACTTTGGTCTGTCTAGAATCACAGAAAAATATAATCCATCACCTTCCATCTAAACCCTGTTAACTTAAAATACACACTGGAAAAAGCTTTACCTGTTGAATTTCTGTCTGCATTGCAACCATTAATGGGGCGCGAACCAGCAAAAATTGTCAAGAGGTGACCCCATCCTCCCCTTTTTCTGCACTGGTACATCCCAGGCAATCCGGGCTTGTCTTCTCTCCCCCCCTCAAGACCGTCATAGTGGAACGGTCCGTCCTCCCCTTTCCTCGGAATAAACCCGCCTCTTACGGAAAAAAAACACTTTCTCTCGAACACAGAGAATGGGACAGCCTACTTTTGCCTACCCCTGTCCGCAAGAGAAAATGGTACGCTCCCAATCCTCGCCGAGCCAATCAGGTCGCCCCAAGGCGCCGACTCCCGTAAGAAAGGCCCCCCTCCCAAAGTGGGCGTGGCCCCTTGAGGCTGGCACCTTCCTCCCCGCAGGCTCCGAGCCAACGAACTCAGCCCTTCGTCCCCAACGCGTATTCTTATTGGCCGGCCGTTTTTGAACGACGCCCAAAGCCCTGCCCCGGTCAGCGCGCGCGCGCGCGCCGGGCTGAGGGCGCGGCCAATCAGAGTTTCCGCGGCGGGGCTGGCCACGCCTCCTCTTGAGGCGGCGGGGGAGCTTTTCCGTTGCGGCCGCCGCCATTTTGTGCTTCGGTGTGCGCTGGAGGTACGTGAGGGGGGCGTCGGAGCGGCCTGTGTGTGTTTCTGTGTGTGGGGGTGTCCCTCCGGAGGGTCACCGAGGGCGGTGGGAGGCCGGGTTAGGGTTCTTCCCGGTGGGGACGGGGAAAAGGACCGGCCGGGCCACCTGCCCCGCCGATTAAATAAAGAATTAGGCCCCTTTAACGATAATAATGGCGGCGGGGGGGGGAAGGGAAGAAAGAGCGGTTTTTGGAGCCCTTTAGCGCTGCCCTTCGCCTGTTACGTCATTAATTTTAATAAGAGGTTCAAAAAGTGCCAGTATCGTGGTTCTTGTGTTTCAAATGCGCTTTAAAAAAAACTTTTAAATAGGGTTTTTTTAAATTATGTAATCCGCCTTGGGTCCTTGAGGAGAAAGGTGGGGTAAAATATAGATATTGTCTATCATGTTATCTATAAAATATTCTTTATGCCCCCTTGTATAGTATGTGGATAGATACATAGGTTATATATATATATATAATCAGTTATTTTGTTGCTGCTTTCAACAGAGTAGCCATTCGTGGCTACATGGCCTACCTACAGCCTTCGGTCAGAGGCAGTTACAGAAGCCAAAAAAGCAAAAGGAGGGCATTTCGGTCTTTTAAGAATCAGCTGTTAATATAGGTTATCCATCCTTTAGTCAAAGGATTAAGGCAAGGAATAAATAAATTAAGATTTAAGAATTTCATGAGAGAAGGGGGCTCTCCTTTGCTCTTTCCTTTTGGCGTACGCTATTTTATCTAAAACTGGATGGAATTAAGTTGGACGTGTGGATCTAAATGGGCCTCACGGGGGGGTGTGAGCGGGGAGAGAGAGAGAGAGCGAAAATCCAGCCCTCCGTCACTTCTTTCCTGTTTATCCGGATGTAGCTTAAGGCCTCTTTTTCTCCACCCCATGCTCAGCTCTGACCGCCATGGTGAAGCTTTTCATTGGCAATCTTCCCCGGGAGGCCACCGAGCAGGAGATTCGCTCCCTTTTCGAGCAGTACGGGCGGGTCCTGGAATGCGACATCATCAAGAACTACGGGTTTGTGCACATCGAGGACAAGACCGCGGCGGAGGATGCCATCCGCAACCTGCACCATTACAAGCTCCACGGGGTCTGCATCAACGTCGAGGCCAGTAAGAACAAGAGCAAAGCTTCCACCAAGCTGCACGTGGGCAACATCAGCCCCACGTGCACCAGCCTCGAGCTGCGGGCCAAGTTTGAGGAGTACGGCCCGGTCCTTGAGTGCGACATCGTGAAGGATTACGCCTTTGTGCACATGGAGCGAGCGGAGGACGCCGTGGAGGCCATTCGGGGCCTTGACAACACGGAGTTCCAAGGTGGGAAAGGGGAGAGGGGAGGCAGCCCGGGTTAGAAGCAGGAAGCAAAAGGTCCTGCACGCCCAGTCCGTTTCTGGGGGAAGATGATTTCAGCCGGACTTGGTCAGTGACAGCCTCCAGCTTCTAGGTAGCTGCCCGCCAACTAAAATTAATCTTCAGGCTGCCTGACTTTCATCAGTCACTTGGTTAAATAGTAGTTTAACTACATTAAAGAAGAAACAGGGTCAAATGGTCAATGTGCAGAATTGGGTGGGGCGGGGAACAGCACTGGTAGCAATTTGGTTGGACCACCAAAATGTCACAAACAGGTGAGCATTCAAACCCTGCAGGATTCTTCCTCGGGCTAACCACAGCAGACTTTGCGGGGCTGGGAAGGAATAGAAGAGTTCAGAAATCATCCTGGCTGAATGTGGAAGCTGGAGAACGTGTGCAGTTCCAACTCTCAAGAAGGAAACTCTGGATTTAAAGAAGCAGCTTGAGGTGTGGCAGTAGCGTCAGGTTTCAAGGCTTCCTTGTTTAAACAAAGCTGTCTTGTTCAGAATGTTGAAGGGGCCGTTTGCAAAGGCTCTCTCTGCTAACTGAAAAGGGAGGGCTTGTCCCTCTATTTTCTTCAAAATAATAGGAGTACAGGTGGCTCAAAACATGAGAAGCAGGGTACATTCAGGTATAAACTGGGGTTCCATGATTTTTGCGACAGATTTAAGAGTTGAAAAGGGATTAGAAGACACCTTCAAAAAGCAGTAATACTATATATATTTTTTGAAATGTTGCTTTTTAAAATGAATATGTGCATTTCTCTGTATTGGGAATAGCAAGGATATGTCTCCCTTGGCAACCTTTAGGTCTTTGTGTCCCTCCACAAGTCCCTTGGCCTTTTCTTGTTTTTACCCTGTCTTAGTGTCTGATCTATATTGAGCATATTAACTGGAAGATTACTAATTACATTGAAAAGATATAGTTTAGCTGCAGCAACTAGAAAGACGGCCAGTCGTGGTTCACATCAACCTAGTAGTCAGCTCTTTTGGCCATACATGTCCCACCACAGAATCTTAATTGCCACACATCCTGTTCCCCTAATTAATCCCTTTCTTGGCAGAAAGATAAATGTCTTTCTTTCTCCCCCCCCCCCTTTAGACCTCTGCTTTGTTTCATCCACCCAGATCCATCTTTCTTGACCCAGACTGTTCTCCACCTCCATTTCTTCAGTCGTCTTGTTTCTTAATCTCCATCTGTTCCCTCCCCTCTCCTGCTCTTTCTGTGATTCCCATATCTTTCTGCCTCGCTTGCCCATAAGAAGGATGTGCCTTGTCTTTCCTTAGTCCCCGTGGGAGGGTTTAAAAAAAAAAAAGCTGAAGTGAATTTTTTTTACTTTATGCAAATCTGCAATTTGGGGCATCTCCCTTTTTACAGATGATGTCTTGTTTTTACCATTAGGGGGAGGGAACGGCAAGAAGCCTAAATCCAACGCTTAACCTGTTGTATATTTTGTTAGTCAATTCTTTGTTTTTTGTTTTTCTACTTTTTTGGTGATTTGAAGGCAGGCGCTCTATGTGCCCTGCTGAGATGTTTAAGCACCTTTGCTGATTTGTGGTCATTTATTGAAAATCTACAATGCAGATGTTGGTAGAAGTGCATCAAGAAAGGGCACTTCCCTAAACTTGCACTGTATTTGGAGGAAAATGACATTTCTGCTTTCCAGTACAGACTAGTTGAATTATAATTGTGACAAATTCTTCCTCCACCCTTGTCCCCTTAGTTTATCTGGAACGATGTTTAAAATCTAGTTATATAATGAGGATAAGTATTTTTTTAAAAAAACCCACAGAGCTCTGGGGTTGAAAAGTGAGATCTCTTGAGAGTGGTCAAGAGATGGAATTGAGCCTTGCCTGGATTACGAAGAAAAGGAATTTGTCTCATCCTTGGGTTGTAAGGCTGGGGTGAGCGAAGACTAGATTCATTTGAAATGGTTTGGCAGGGCTGTATGTTTGGTAGGGAGGGCCAGCATACAGCTCAGGTGGGGAGAAATATATATATAGAATTGTGTCATATTTCTGGCATGTTAAGCATCTATCCATGTGAGTCCCATCTCCATCTTTTTGGTTGTTTCATGGCCGAGCCCCTTAGATTATATAAATCTCCTCTCCTTGCTTGTTCTCCTATCTCACAAAGCATATCTCTGAGCTGCTGGCAGTGTTAAGCAGCTCTCTGAGTTGGAGGTCTTCTGGGTTGAAGGTCCTTGTGGGCTTCAGAGGGGATCCTGTTCCCAGGTAGAACAATTGCATGTCCCGTTTCGGCTTCTGTGCTGAAGGAGCCACAGTTGCTAGATCCGGGTGCTTTAGCCTAACACGCTGTCGAAGAGCGTGTTTCTTTCGGCTGCTAGTACTTGTAGTATGCTGGGGGCAACAAACCAAAGCGTGCTGCTAATATGCTGCCCCAGAGCACTTAAAGCGCTCTCTGGATGGTTTAGAATTTAATTATACAGGCGACACATTGCCCACCCACCCACAAGCTGGCTACCTAATTTACCAACCTCTGAAGGATGAAAGGCGGAGTGAACCTTGAGCCGGACCTGGGATTGAACCAGGCCGTGAGCAGAGTTTTGGCTGCAGTACTGCAGTTTAACCACTCCTAGTTAAAACCCAGTTATTGGTGAATTCTGGGACACTTAATTATGCAACAGTGGGGGGCATGGGAGGGAATAAATTAAGAAGAAAACAGAGGAAGGTTTTTTTTTTAAAAAAAATCTCTATGCTACTCCTGTGAGGACGGCTAGCTAAACACCAGTCTTCCAGCAGCACTTCCCCCCCCACACACACACACACAACTTCCCACATCTCAGAGACATTGGGGTGTGGCTTAACAAAGAACTTGAAGCAGCAGGATACTTAAAAGGGGCTCTTGGCCCAGCCACCAGTAATCAACGGTTTTGGTAAAGGGGAAGAGGAAAAAAATAATAATAATTTTAAAAACACGTAAAATTCTGTGTATTTTAAAAAAACTGACAGATTTCCCTGTGAGATTTCATGGAATCAAGGACGTGCATGTGGTGGGCATTCAGATATATATACTGAACAACTCCCAGGAAGTGGTACTATTGGGGGGGGGAGGGGAGGGATTTGTTCTTTTTGTTTTTCAGTTGAAGCACATGGAGTGAAGCAGACAATGGCTGTAAAAGGACATCTCTTACCTTCTGGTTTCTCCCCTCTCAAACCCAGGGGACTTCTGGGGTCAGGAGCCCTAGAATTCTGAGAGGTTTTTTTTTTCTTACCCTTGGAACCTGCTTCTGCAGAAATTCCTCTTTGAGTGTTCACTCAGTTAAAAGCCATGCCCCCCCCCTTATGATCCATATCCATCCTGTCTGGGAGGTGTGGACAGGGAGAGCTGGTTTAGGCAGTGCCAACGTCCCCGTGGAATTAAGAAAGAAAAAATTCTTGCTGGACCACCACATGTGATTGAGGTCAAGGGGAAGAATGTGGGAAGGTGGTATCTTTACGTTTCCACCTGCATTGAAGGTGTTCCCCTTTCCACTTTGAGGTTCTCCGCAGGTGGTTGTCGAGGCACCCGGGGGTGATCTTTGGAGCCACGCTTAGAGCTTTGGAGGCTAGGACGGTCTCCTCCTCTCAGTCAGCCGACGAGAGTGGTGGGGGCCAATTGAGCCTTTCCGGCGTCCAGAATGGTGGCCAGGGTTGGAAAGGGTGCCAGCATCTTTAGACAGGAGTGCCCAGGGGACGTGAGGCGTACGGCTGGTGCCGACTGGAGCCAGATCTCCCGTTCTGCATGACGGAGCCTGTGGTGAGCAGGGTTGTGTGCTTAGAGGTAGGTCGGCCTCGGGAGCAGCCTCTTTCCTCTTGTGGCGGGCTAGCCTTTGTGCAGAGCAAAGTGGTGCCTTAGAAAGGAAGTCTAATTGAGGTGCTGAGAAATCTGTATAGCAGTATTTCTGGTCAGGACGGGCGAAATTGGGAGAGGTGTCTGATGAATACTCAGTCTAAAGGATGAGTATCCCATCTCTTCACCACCGTCTCCTGCTTCCTGCAATGCCCAGGTGCCCAGACCTGTGGAGTTGTGACCCCCAAGGGGGGTGTTTTCCAGGAGGTCATGGGCCACCTTGTAAATGTTGTAAGGTAAAGGTTCCCCTTGACATAGTGTTTTCCAGGAGGTCATGGGTCACCTTGTAAATGTAAGGTAAAGGTTCCCCTTGACATTGAGTCCAGTCGTGTCCGACTCTCGGGCGCAGTGTTCATCCCCGTTTCCAAGCCATATACAGTAGCTAGGCAGAGGAAAGGATCAGTGGGCTAAGAGTGTCCTGGCCAGATCTCTGAGGGATCCGATCAGGAAGTGTTCTGCACCAGAGCGTCTTGCATCTCTTCCCAGCCCTCTGCTGTTGTTTCTTCACTCTTGGAAGGTGCTTTATATGGTCTTCTAAACACAGCATGGCAAATGTGCTATATCTGCAAGAGTATAGCAAATGCATCGGAGGTTCTTTGAAGCCCTGTGGTAAAATTTAGGTGCTTGGCTTCACAGGGGCAAGCTCCCCCCTCTCCCCCGGGCTTGGGATGTAATTCCTGCTTTTGGCACATTGCAGGCCTGCCTGAATACTTCTGTTTACAGAAGCTATGTTTAGGGAATGAATGGGATATTTTGCCACCCTGAGGAGGCTGGATCGGTTCTGCTTCAGAGTGCGTTGCACTGTTTCCAGCCAGAAGGAAAAGGAAAACGGAGCTGAGCTTACTCTGCTGCGGAGACGAGGGTTCTTGATGTGTTTTGCTTGCTTCTTGTGCTGTATTAGCAGTGGCAGGCAGGGGCCAGCTGTCGGTTGCTCAGCTTCATTTCTTTCCCCCCCCAGAGAAAAAAAAATCTGACCTGTTTTGCTTTTGCTGTGAACTGTCTTTTAAAGGAAAAAACAAAAGCAATCTTTATAGCTGCCCTTCTTGCGTCTTGTTTCTTCAAGGCAAACGAATGCGCGTGCAGTTGTCCACCAGCCGGCTCAGGACCGCGCCCGGGATGGGAGACAAGAGCGGCTGCTACCGGTGTGGGAAAGAGGGTCACTGGTCTAAAGAGTGCCCGGTCGATCGCACAGGGCAAGTGCCTGAGCTGACCGAAACCTATAGCGAGCAATACGGAATGGTGCGCACCCCCTACCCTACAGGCTATGGGGACCCCGTGTATTACGATGACCCCTATGGAATGGTGGACTACTATAAACGGTATCGCGCGAGGTCCGCCGCAGCGTACGGGGCTTCTGCATATGACGCTTATGCGGAGCACACCATGGCCCAGTATTCCCAGTACGCCCAGTATTCACAAGCCACGGCCATGGCCAATCGCCTCTCGACCGCCTTAGACCCCTACGAGAGGGCCTTGCTACCAGCCACGGGAACTGCAGCGGCGGTTGCTGCCGCTGCCGCAGCGGCCGCAACTACCTCCTTTTACGCCCGGGATAGAAGCCCTCTGCGTCGCTCGGCAGCCGTGGCCTCCACCGCCGGAGACGTGTACGGATACGAGCGGGTTCAGCTGTCTCCCGTCCCGCGATCCTCCCTCTACGACGTCCAGCGGTTCGGGCGGGATGCAGGCGCGGACAGGTTGCGATACTCCGCGTATTGAGTCTAGAGGTGAGAGCGTTTTTTTCCATGAGTAGCGAGGAGGTGGTGGTGGAGGAGGAGGGGGATGACCCATCGGTGTGATTGCTGGTGAGAGTTGGGGAAGGATCCTGCTGCCGTGCGTGCCTTTGAGGGATACCTCTTGGTATCCGCTGTGCGCTGGATCGTGTCGCTGTTAGCAGCAGCGTCGGTGGAGGTTGATGGGCCCCGTGGACCAAGCTGAGTGGCTGAGTGGGGGTGTGTGTGCATCTCTCAGGCCACTCTCTCCCCCAGACGAGAGGAACAACGGACCACAAGCGTCTTCTGCTCTTCCATAGTTGCTTTGCTCCAGAGTTGGCTTCCATGTGCCTCCTTCCAGACCATGAAAAAGCTGCACTCTGCTCTTCCGGGTGTCCTGGCCCGACGGGTGGATGCCCTTCCCATGCCTTTGACCCTCCCCATTCCTTGTGGGCCTGTCGCCTTTCCCTTCTGCTCAACGGGCCCTGCCATCTCCTCCGTGTGGGGCTGCGGTACAGCAACCATACTCTGGCTGGCCAGGAAGAAGATAGCCCGCCAGTAGCACTGCTCTGCTGCTGATAAGCTCTTGAGTCTAGGACAGGGACCCTGGAATCCTTTCCAAGTCTACCCCCTTCTGCCCCCTTTTGGAAGCCCCAGCTTGACCAGCTGCCCCCCCCTTCCCTGACATATCTTCACCAGGTCGGAGGGCTTCTGAATGTTCTCTCCGAGCCTTCTAGCACTGACACCTTGTTACGTAAAACTGGCTTGGCCGAATCGGATCAAGATTTGCGCAGCTTTGATTCACGGTTATCTCTCTCTGTCACTTACAAAGAACTCTCTGTCAATACACCTGGCCCAGGTATTCCCATAGGCCCAGTTATTCGGCTTATCATCTCCTCTTCTGGCACTGAATTCTTTTGTCTGATTGTGAATGTGAGAGATGATGTCGCTGCTGTCTGTCCCTATTTTTAGAAGTCCTGGTCTTACAGGAAAGGATAAAGGATTCCTCTACTTCCTTTCCCCCAACCTCTCCCCGGGGTCATAATTTTGAAAATGTGCTGTTGTCGTGCACTCCCTTCTGGCCCTGAAAACAAAATGTCAAGCCACGTCCCAGAGGTTTCCGTTATTAAAAAAACGCCCAGTATCCCAGTTGCCCCTTTTCTGGCTTACCTGTTGTGTATGTTGCCCTTTTTAATAGATGGGGGGAGCCAGAGATGCTGTTCGGTCTCTTCCTTTCTTCCCTAGTGACCCCCCCAAAACAAGGTCTACCTTCTCTCCCTTGTGCTCTCTTCCTAAGTTCTCAGAGCCAGACCCTCACCAGAATATTTGTGGATTTGGTATTTTTCTGAGTGGTGTATCGTTTGGGAGTGAGAGGGCCTCATCCGGCCACACTGCTGTGCACCTCACAAACTTCGGCTGCCCTGCCCGCTGGCTTTCGCTGGCATCTCTGCAGGGCCCACCTTTCCTTGACTGTCCGGTGTGCATGGGTCCCAGTATGTGGCCGGATTAACAGCCGTTCCTCAGCATTTTGCCAGCCGGGTCCAGGTCCATTGTGAGAGGTTCGTTGCTGGAAGAGTACCTTTTCAATCTTGAGTTAGAAAACGACCAAGTAGCGAAGGATGGGAAAGAGACCCCGACAGTCTGAAGAGAAAAATAGGGAGTAGATGGAGGGGTAGGTCACTTCAGTGGGCTTTGTGTGGGGGGCATATTTCAGTCTGTGGACCCCACATTCTGGCAGGCTTAACAGGAGCTGGGATGGGCCGCTTAGAATATTGGCAGTTTTTTGTTTTTTTCAATGAGGGAGAGGTTTCTGGAGGACCTGGGAAAGACTCTGCAGGTGCCCCCGGGCACGTCCTGTGGGTCACGCTTTGCCACCCCCCACAAGCTAGATGGACCAGATTTGATTTAAATAAAATAGTTCAGAATATTTTTGGATGAAAAATTGGTTTTTAAATTTCAAGTCTTGATTTAAATTCGTTTGATTTTTTTAAAAAAAACACCATTGCTTTTTATCCACCCTGTTCAGCACCAAAGAAGGGGTTGCAACATCTTATTTGCAAGAGTAATATCACCAAGTTTTAATAAGAGGATCAGGTACCAGGCCTTCCAGTCATGACGGAGCAAAGGACCTGACTTGGTTCGAGGCAACTTTCTGCATTTCAGGGAATGTCCTGTTGTTCCACCTTGCATGGAGAAGGTCGCCGAGGGCGGTGGCTGGAGGGGGGGGGGCACTTGCAGGCTTCTTCCGTGAAGAAAGACCTCGGGTGTTCTGGGTTAAGAAATGACCTCTGCTGGAGAACCGGCTGTTTGCTGGCCTGAGCGACAAGAAGGCCAGCTTGAATTCTGCTTTGTGGATGGGACTCTGTGTGTGTGTGTGTGTGAGAGAGAGAGACATTCCCCCCTACTACCACCGCTTCAAGTGAATTGCTTGTCCTGATGGCCTCAGTTTGTGGCCCTTTTCTCTAGTTCTCCTTAGGAGTTGTTCTCAAGGAACTGACTTTAAATAGGCGGTTCTGGCCTTCCCTGCTTCTCTCTCTTTCCGCACAAATCTACCTTGTAAAACAGACCCTCTCTCCATCAGCTGTAGGACCACACAAAGCCAAGTGAGAGCCTCAGTAAACGGCTGCGAGATATTTTGCCGATGTTGCCTTTTCCCAGCACTGTTTTAAAAACAGAGGTTATAAATCTGCACGTTTTTGCTTCTTTCCTCTTGCTTCTGCCCCCTGTTGCTCCTCTCTCACCCACATACAAACACATCCCTTGGTTGACGCTCAGCAGTGTGGATGAAAAATAGGCACCATCCCCGGAAAGGAAGACCTGTGTGTTGGAATCTTACCTGGTGCGGCTTTGGGCGTTTCCTCTCGGCCCAGAAACCCCGTAACCGAGCCTGTGAATGAACTGTGTCTTTTATTTTTCAGGTAGGTTCTTTGAGGGCTGGACGTCGGTGGGTTCCGGTGGTCCGTCCGCGGAAAAACTGTGCCAGGCTTCGCAAAGCGTGTCGATTTGTGTATAGTGTGGCCTCACTAGTGGACATTCTTATCTCTCCAGAGCTTAATGATAGCTAACTTCATTTTTTTTAAAAAGAAAGAAAACTTTTCCAGGAACTGCTTTGGGGGGGTGAAAAACGAAGGGATGTGTTTGAGGGAAAGAGCGACCATCAACTGGTTTTGCTCCCTCATCTCCAGAGAATGAACTGCTGTCTTTGCCCCGTTGATCTCTGTGTAGGCAGGGTAACACCAGAGGTTTGCCCTCTTTCTGGATGAAATTTAGAGCCCACTGCCTTCTCTATCAACTTGCTTTGAGGCTTTCCCCCCCCTCCCCAAATAGGCTTTTTGGATATGAATAATCCAAACCTCCCCTTTTTACAATGAATTGTTGTCCTACAGATCTTGAGTTTCAGCCCCTCCCCTGGAGTGCTTTCCCCCCCTCGTATACTAAGATTAACTTGTGACTTTTTTTTCCGCAAAGTTCGATAAATACTTTTCACCCCTCCTTTTTTCCCCTCCTTCAGTAAAATAAAATATTTGTAACAGATGCCTGCTAGTTTGCCTCTTGTGTCGCTTGTGCTAAAAAGCCCAACGCAGGACTTTGACCGGCTTATGAAGCTGATCGCTCTCGGGTATGTATCTGGGTGAAGTGCCAAGGATGTCTTCTAAGCCACCTTTAAGAAACTGGGGAGTGAAGCGGGTTGCCGTTTCCACACAAGGCTGCACAGATGGGTTTCTCCTTGGAGAAAATTTTGTAATTTCTTTTTTTTTTAACTCTGTTAAGCAGTTTTTACATCTTGAGTTCACATCAAAAGAGCAGTCGCTGCGTATATGTCACAAAAGTGAGTTAGCTTTGGAAGGGCAGAGTCTGTGAGGGGACATGCTCCCTTGAGAGCAAGAGATTGCTGATGTGGTCAGACAGCAACCAAGAAGGAAGGTCTTATTCCGTTAGTTGAGGTTTCTGTACTCCCCTTTTCTTCTGACACTCAAAAAGACATTTTTCCAGAAAGTTAGACAGTGCTGTCCACGTTTATACTTTTGACTCAGGCAGGGAGAAGTCTCTCAGTCACACCGAGGCGGATTTCCTCCGCCCCTTTGCAAACTTGCTCAGGGCTGGGGGATTGGTGGCCTTATAGGTTTTTTTATTCCCGGTTCCCACCAGCCTCAGAGAGCCTCCTTAGCGGTGGGACGTGAGGGAGGTTGTTATTGAACAATGCTAAGAGGACCCTAAGTTCTCTAGCTCTGGCTTCACTTCCGTGGGAGGGTTCAGTGTCACCGACAGGCATGTTTTGCCAGGGTGTGGATGGGAAGGAAGTCTGGCTCCAGAATCTTTCAATTGGCTCCCATATTTTCAACCCTTAGTTCTCTAGCTCTGGCTTCACATCCGTGGGAGGGTTCAGTGTCACCAACAGGCATGTTTTGCCAAGGTGTGGATCAGAATCTTTCAATTGGCTCCCATATTTTCATCAGAGAATTCGTAAGTGCAGAGTGCTGAGGATAACGGGTATGTTCTGGGTGGAAAAGTTCGCCTTATCAGGGCAGGAAACCTCATGTGAAATACATTCTCTCCTGAAAGAGAACATGATTCGGCAATTTACTTTTTAGGCATAGATGGAAAACATAAGGATCTGCAGATTTACAGACCATCTCATGAACTATGTAAATACTGTATGTCATGCAAAATGTATGTTTTCTAATTGTAGCCTGCTTAGAAGTATTCAGATTTAAGCAGCATATTAAATATTGCTAAATAAATAAACATCTCTCTGGCCCATTCGTGTGAACATGGGCTGTAGTCGGGCAGCGTGTTGTCCAGTTTAAACCCCATCAGGACGAATAGGCAGCATTTTAAGGAACCTGATTCCAAATCCTCTTATTTCAGGAGGCCTTGTGTTGAAGTTGTTGTGAATGTCTTGTGGATGCCACACAACTCTTAGAGGCAGCCAGAATACCTCTATTGAGGCAAGGGTTTTCTGATTCTTTGATAATGTAAGAATTCTGAGTTAAGGGGAAGCACCCTATCCTTGTTTGTTTAAAATATTTTTATTCTGCCTTTCTTTTTAAAAGGTGATCTCCCAGGGATCACTTGTCTCTCCACCCAAATATACCTCGCCTGGAAAAAAGAGCACCAGTAGCTTTTTGACAAGGTTTCTGCGCAGGCCAATTTCAGAGTTTAGCAGAATCTGAGACCTTAAAGTAAGCCAGATATATAGTAGGACCCCAGGTCTGTTGTGATCAGTATCAACGGATTCACTTATCCACGGTCTGAAAATATATTTTTTAAATCCTAATGTATATTCCTAAAGATGAAGTTATGAGAACTGGCCACTATGTATCTAGCATGTGCTATTATAATAGCATTTGCTATAATTTGCATTTTTCAGCCTCTGCAGGCAGGGTTGAATCAATCCCTCATGAATACTGGGGTCCTACTGTAATCTGAAAAGGCAAGATCACAAGAGTATTTTTGCCTCTACCTGTGTGTATGTTTTTAGGTAACGACTCCCCCTCCCGTCTGTCATGGTCACCTTCCCCCAGTCCTCTTTCTGCAGGTCTTTGAAAGCTGGGCCCATGGATTCTAGTTGAAAAACAAAGCAGATCATTTATACATGTGCTCTGCTCCACCTACCACACATAAGAGGCTTCCTTGGGCAACTGCTGGGGCCTGAGAAGATTTATGGCCCAGGATGAAAAATAAAATACCAGCGTGGGCCTCTGCCATCCACAGCGTAAAAATGGCGCAGGCAGGTTTGCACAAAGGATGGCCAGGCCGTGAAGGCAAACACGGGGTGGGCGTACCTATGTCTGGGCAGGGCAGGCTTACGTTTGTTACACCTCAGAACACTTCCCCTTTCTCTCACGCTGCCCACGTGCTTGGTATGACCTAGAAACATGCAAAACGCCCTCCATCTCATCCCTGAGGCGGTAGTGCTCAATCGTGTTCCCCCCCCCAATAATTATTCTCCATGGTGGGAAAAATTGTCTAAAAGGAGCGATGCTTCCAATAGGCAGCCTGGGTGCCAGTTTCCCTGGCACAGAGAATGGCCAGGGTTACAAATCGTTGGGTGCTGCCCCACACAATCTTTTTTTGCACCCTGTGTAATTGACACAGAGCAGTCCCTTTTTGCTTGCCAGTGGAAGAAGAAGTTAGGATGATAATGTGGATTGAGCAGGATCGTTCCTAATAATAATTTTCAACACCCCCAAGAATGTGACAGGAGGGACAAGGTAATGACAAGGAGAAATAATACAACGGCGATGGGATGTTGGAAACAGGTACAGTAGGCCTGCCTATATCCATGGGATCAGTATCCACGGATTCACTGGTGATGGGATGTTGGAAACAGGTACAGTAGGACTGCCCATATCCATGGGATCAGTATCCACGGATTCACTTATCCACGGGCTGAAAAGGATAAAGAAAAATCCTAGAAATATAGATTCCTAGATAAAAGAAAAATCCTAGAAATGTAGATTCCTAAAGATGATGTTATCAAAGCTGGCCACTAGTGGGAGCCAGAAACCATGCTGTATACTGTATATTGCTTTGGCTGTGATCCATGTTTTCCAGCATCTTCAGGGTGGCTTGGAATCGATCCTTGCAAGTGGTTTCGACCTTTAGCCCCCGTGAGTCACAGCCTACACAGCCACGGGCAAGAAAAGGTGGGGGGGCCTGTGACCCCAAACATCTGGAGGGCCAGAAGTTCCCCATACTTGGCACAATGACAAGGCTTTGCACACCTGATGCAGGCTGTGCACTGCAGCAGGTGCTTTAAACAAGGAGACTATGTTTTTTCTTAAATTAATAGATAACAGGAACCTCATGGTCTTCCGTAGATTCTATTTGACTGGGAAGAAGGCAAATCTCACCAACATCTCTGGAAGGCACCATGAGCAGAGTGGCCGCTCACTGCCGCCTTGGCCCATATGATCCAATAGGCCCACAGGCAGCTGATCCCCCAGCTGCCCCCCCTTTCCTGTTTCCTAACCCAGCTTGTGTTCTTCGAACCTCACTAAAAGCTGTCTTGGAGCCAAAGGGTCCCAAGGAAGGAACCTAAACGGACCGAATCGTCCGTCGCCATCGTTTGGGGCTGAAAAATCTGCCTGAGATAAGACGGTGCCTGTCTTAACCAAGAGGGGGCAGTTTCCTTCCAGGGCTCCCTCTGTAGACGGCTGTGCTCATTGCGCTGGCACGGCGCTCCTGCTGTAACCAGTAGAGCATTTCCACGGTGTCCCACTCCATCTTCTTCAGGTAGGGGCGTCCTTTGAACGTGACGGTGTCGTTGAAGGCCTCTCGGATGTGGGTCAGGATGACGTAGAGCTCCGAGTCGTACTGGGCCAGCTCGGAGCGCAAGCGGTTCCTGGTCGCCCCTTCTTGCATCCGCCGGGCATAGGCCCGGGGCTCCAGACTGAATAAGCGGTTTGGATCCGAAGCCGTCAGCTCAAACTTTTCCAGTTCAGCCAGCAGAAGCTCCCGGTCCTGAATGGACCGGGCCGCCTCCTCCCAAGCCTGCAGCATATCTGGGAGCAACAAGTAATACGGATGGGAACTGTATTTGATGGCCATATCCATCCTTTCTCGTTCGGAGAAGTGAAGCACCACCCAAAGTCTCTCTAACCTTCTCTGCAGGGCTCTGAGATCCTCTGGCTTGTGGTCAGAATCGCCCAAAGTCCCCAGGCCTCCCTGCCAGAGCCTGACATCCTCAGCAGCATCTGGAGTGCTCACTCTTTCCATCGCGATCCCCTCTGAATGTCCGGACTCAATTTTGTCCTCCTTGCGTGGAAGCCCTAAGGCTTCTTTAATGGCCGCCCTCTTCGCTTTCTCCTGTGCCCTAACTTCAGCCTCATCAACGGCCGCCTGCTGCATTTTCTCTTCCTCTTCTTCCTCTCCCCCAAAATTGTACAAATGAAAAATCACGGCTAAATAATCCGACTCCTTGGTGGCGATGTATGTCAAGTAATCGTCCGTGTTGAACGTTTTCTTCCACCATTTGAGCCAAGAGGCATATTCCTTTTTACTGGATTTCTTCTTGAAAGGAAGATTTGGAGTCTGCGGGGTGTCCACCACTTCCTCGGGGGAATAAGGTCCAGCGGGCAAGATTTTACTCAGCTCGTCATTAATGACCTGCTCATTTTTCCTTCTGGTCAGTGTGGAGGAAGCGAAGCAGCCTGAAAGATCTATGTCGACCGCGGGGGATTCAATCAAGGGCCCCGCATCAAACTTCAGGTGGTCTTCTGGGATCGTGTTCATCAGTTCCTTGTACATCTCTCGGACTTCTTCTCCGGTGGAAAGGTTGGCATCCAGGGACTTCAAGGTCGCGTCGTTTATCTCCCCAAGGAGGTGATTGTAAATCGGTGGACATTTCTCTAGCACCACCGCTTCCAGGAAGACTCTGTCTGACACCTGCAAGTCGGCCGCTTTCACAACCATCCTGTCGTGAACTTGGACGTTAATGGTGGCCGCCTGAGGGTGAGAGGCCGGGGCAGCGATAATGGTGTTTCTCCGCTCCCTTTCGACATACTCCTCCCGCTGGAGAGCACTGAGCGTCGTCTGGAGATGCTCCTCATGGAGTTCGTTCGCCTTGCGCCTCGTCAAGGCTTTAATGAGGGGAGGCAGTTCTAAATCGTCATTTTGCTTTCCTTGCCCCGGGCTGCTTTTCACAATGCAGCCCTGCACCAGCCTTTGGAGATCCTCATCCAGGTGCTCCGAGCCTCTGAGTTCCCAGTCTTCAGCGGAGTCGGCGTAGTGGCAAGGCAGATCTGGGCTGAGCCGCCGGGGCCTTATGTGGATTCCAAGTTCATCTGCCAAGAGCCGTCCGGCTCTCATATTGGGCAGGGACTGGCTCCTCTTCAAGCCAGACGTTGTCCTTTTTATCCGCTGGGGCTTCATCTTCTCTCTCGAGGACGAAGGGCAAGGTACTCTGACCGCCGCGCAGGTCATTTTCTTCAGGAAACTGATTTCCTTGGCCGTTGGCAGATTCAACTGCTTGACTTTGTTCATGTCCAGCGAAGGTAAGTTTTCCAGCTCTTTGACCTCTTCGGCCACCTTCTTCCTCGCCGTCGGCACGAACGGTTTGGTGAGCCGGATGAAGTGGCTGATGGTGAAGCCCAGGCGGCACCCGAGGGTTTCTTTGGGCACCTGGGCCAGCGGGACGAGGTCCCTCCGGGCCGATTCCGGCCGGCGGCTCCGGGCCGTCTTCATCTCCATCACCAGCCGGTGCCGGACGGCGGCCACGTTCAGGAAGGCCGAGCAGTCCAGGGTGAGCTGGGCCGAGAAGCGGGTGAGGTTGGCGCAGTCGGTGAAGACGCCCATCTTGCTGCGGTGCTCCAGGAGGCACAGGTAGTGGAGGAAGAGGTGCTGGCTGACCAGGCCGATGTAAGCCACCAGGTGCTGGTAGAGCTCCCGGTTGGTCTGGGCGCCGAAGGCCTGGTCGTGCAACGAGCGCTGGAGGTCCTTAAAGATGTGCCTGACCTCGGCCAGGATGATGCCCCGGAAGGCCGCCTGAGGCCGGGAGGGGAGGTGGGCCCACGAAGGCCCCAGCTCCAGCCGCCGCTGCACCAGCTGCAGCAGGGCGGCCAGGGAGATGGGCACCGGGACGGGCTTCTCGGCCGGGGCGGCGTCGGGCAAAGGGAGCTCTTTCCGAAACGAGGACCTCAGGCGGGTGTAAGCGGCGGGGAAGGAGGCCAAGGGGGCCAGGACCCGCTGGAACTGGCCCCGCACCTCCTGCCGGGCCCCTTCCGTGTCCTCCAAGGGGTACAGCCCGCGCCTGGGAAGCGAGGCCATCGCCGGGAGGCCGCGGTGAGCCCTGGAGTTATTTAGCGGTCGCCATGGTTACCGCGGAAGGCCCCCGTCCCTCGCTTCTCTACCTCCGGGCGGAACATTGGACGCGGGACTTTAGTTCCGGCTCTGGGAGGTGGGAAGCTTTTCGTCCGGGTCCACCAAGGTTTAAAGGGCGTACAGGCCTGACCATAGAGTGGGGATGGAGAAGGGCTACGGCCAGCATTTCCGCTTCCGGCGGGAATGAACTCGGGTGTCTCCTTTAAAAGGGCCCGGTTAGAGGACAGTCGTAGCCACCACTATGGCGGGGGTTCCCGAAGGAGGAGGTCCCAGTTGTAGGGTGAGAGAGAGAGAGAGAGCGGGAAAAGGCGGTTGGCCCTTCTGGCCCCCTCACCCCTGTGGGTTTCTGGCGGGGGGGGGGGGGTTTGACAGGCAGCAATGCAACAGGTGAAGCCCCTCTCCCCAAGACGGGCTGGGCCTGCCGTGTCGGTGTTGAGGCTCGGAAACGGGGGCGAGGGGGGGGCAAGAACCCCCAAAGGGGGAAGGGCGGCCGCTGGGTTGCGTGTGTGTGGCCCCTTCCAGCCAGGAGAGGAGTCTTTGGGGGGGCGCCCCCGAAAAGATTCTGCCCCCCCCTTCAAGACTCGGTTTAAATCGAAAAGATTTAAACTCCAAACATTGGAGTTTTCGAGGGTTTCGATTCTTTTAAAAAATCTGATTTTTTGATGGCTTAAAATTTTATGATAGGGTTTTTTTGATGGTTTCAGTTCTAAAAATCTGATTTTTTTGATGGTTTAAAATTTTAAAATAGGGGTTTGTGTTTTTTGGGTGGCTTAAATTTTTAAAAATCAGGGTTTTTTTGATGGTTTAAATTTTTTTAAATTGGTTGTGTGTGTGTGTTTTTTTTAATTTAAATAGTTTGATTTTCTTCTTTTGAAGCATTGATCTTACCCACCCTGTTTGGCAGAAGCTTCCGTGGACTTTGCCCGGCTCTGGGTCGGTCGGCTGCCTCGGAGAAACTTGCTTCAGTATTTCAGAGATGCCGCAAGAGTGCCTTGTTTTATTCTGTACTACACAGCTTTCGCTTAATAACCCTATCACTGTTAGGTGTCAGTTTAGGATGTTTTAACCCTTCCCAGAATAATATACAGTATTGCTCGAATGGGGCATATACAAATTAAAGTAAGTAAATTGGGATGATTCAGAAAATCTTGTTTGGCTTTGAAAGGCTGCAGGACCTCTAGGCCTTCTAATTAAAGCAACAAACAGCTGGATTTCCTTGTTCTTGTGCTAATAAACCCTTTTATGTTTATCTTTGCCTGATTGTGAAGATCTGCACATTTATACAGGACATTTATTTGCATTTCTGTGTCTGGGGAAGTGGGTTTTGAAAGCCCACATGGAAATCAATAAACTGTTAGTCTCTAAAGCAATACAATATATTTTCCTTTTGTTTTACCGACAAGTCACTTGGTTGATTTTTCAAGTAGACGGATCTAGACTCCAGTTTCGTGTAAAACTTTGGAACCGGTAACCCTACATGGGGCCGGGCCGGGAAATAAAACTCCTTCATCTACCCAGCGACTCTTCCCTTATGCCCCATCGTCTACATCCAACATGTGTCCCATTGGTCAGTAAAGCAAAATATCCTAAGCTTAATTATTAAGTATGTATTATTAAGTATAAAGCCAGCAAGTGTGTGCACGCCACATGGAACCTGATGTACTTTCGAAAGGGTTTAGGGGTGCTCGACTAGCACTGAGGTGAGGCCAGTTCAAGCACCCACTTGGCCATAAAGTTCATTGTTTGGCTTGGCTTCTCAACCTAGCCTATCTTACTGGGATAAAAATTATGAGGAATGTGTGCAGAGTTTTGCATTTTCAGTTAAATTCCTTTAGCTCCACAGAGATCAACAGAGGAGAACAGCGTCATGTTCCCTAAGAGTCTGCCCGTTTCTCATTAACGGGCACTTACAGTCCCAATAACCCACTCCGAGACACCCATAGGGGAAAGAATAAAAACATTTCATTACTTACTGTTGTGAACAGATCTAACAGCAAACAAACGGCTTCCAAAAGAGAAATACTCCGCAGAAAGGCGGGGGTGTCTCTCTTTGAATTCAGAGGCGAAAGGGAATGATTGGTTGGTGCTGAATAGATAGACAGCCCCCCCCAAAAAATCCTGTGGCTCAGCATCTTAAAGGGGTTGCTAGGTTGAGTTCAGAAGGTTATATGTTTCGGATTTTGCATAATTTTATGCATTGGGGTGGCTGCCCTTGTTCATTAATCAGGAGCCCTGCTCTCTGAGGGATGGTGGGAGTCCGAAAAAGTATCCTTTGCGTGTCTGGAAGCAGTGATTAAGTAGAGATTCTTATCAAATGAACAGGAGATTGAAGGTGGCCCAATATGGCTTGTTCCCATCAACAGGGGTTCGCCTTTCCTGACTGACGGGTGTACATGGAAAGGCTAGCCAATCCTTGATCTGTAGAGCAATCGGCCTCATTTTTGCCACATGAGACATTGCCTTTATCAACCTCTTAGAACGGCAGAGCCGGAAGGGACCCTATGGATGCTCCAGTCCAGCCCCTGTCAAGGAGGCACCGGGGAGAATCAAACTCCCAACCTCAGAGACCTACACGACTGAGCTATCCAGCCATTGAGTGATGTTTTTGCTTTATTTGACACTCCTCTCTCTCTCTCGTTTTTTGAAGCTGGAGTTCGCAGTCCAGATGAGCTGCCAGAATTGCGTGGAGGCCATTCAGACATCCCTGCAGGGAATACCAGGTGACCTGAGCGACAGGAACTGTTCCATTTTGTCTGTGAAGCAGGCGTTTTTCCCTTTCCCTGTGGGTGGTAGCATTCCTTTTCCTATACTTGTGTTCCTCTTATTGAAGAACTGCATGAGGAACCTAAAAAAATGTATTAATGATATCAGATCAACCGTCCATCTCGCTCGGTACTACACAATCCTTGGCCTCTATCTGGGCCCTCCGTATATGGCTGGGCAACTGTTGTCCCCTTTTTTTCCTGTGTCCTCGCTGATCAGCACTGGGAAATCTGTTTATTTATTTCCCTACCGCCCCATCCGTGTCTGCCACTCTCCGAGCAGTTCATGATATACCCACTATCTGCAGGGGGTCGGTTTCGAGGCAGGGAGACCCCATGGAGGCTGAAAAATGTGGATTATAGGGAACGCTATTTTAAATAAAGAACGCTATGCATAGCATGGTGTGTGGCCATTTCTGCCAACTTCATCTTTAGAAATACTATACAGTGGTGCCTCGCATAGCGAGGTTAATCCGTTCCGGATTAACCTTCGCTATAGCGAAACATCGCTGAACAGGACAGGGAAAGCCATTGGAACGCATTAAACATCGTTTAATGCGTTCCAAAAGGCTCCTTTACTCACCGTTCAGCGAGGTTTCCTATGGCCGGCAGCCATTTTCGCGCCCTCGTTAAGCGAGGGGAGGGCGCGAAAATGCTGCGCGCTGCCATTTTGAGGCTTCCGGCGGCCATTTTGTCCACCAAACAGCTGATCGTCGGAGCTTCGTTTTGCGAAGATCGGTAAGCGAAACGCTTACCAATCTTCGCAAAGCGAAATTCTCCCTATCTGAAGCTCGTTGAGCGATCGCATTAGCGATCCAAAAAAAGGATCGCTATGCGATTTCATCGTTATACGGTGCGACTCTTTTAAATAGAGACCACTATCCGTAGCATGGTGTGTGGCCAGTTCTGCCAACTTCGTCTTTAGAAATATGTATTTCTCAGATTTTGCTTTTTAATATTTTCGGATTGTGGATAAGTGGGTCATCAGAAACTGTGGATAAAGGGGTTCTTTTGGGAAAAAATGCAGTACAATAAACCCTGTCACTAGTTCAGTGGTCTCTCAGCCCCACAATTATATCTCAGTAACCGAGCCTTTCTCCGCATCTTCTCTCTCTCTCTCTCTCTCTCCAATTATATCTCGGTAACCTAGCCTTTCTCCGCATCTTTTTTCTCTCTCTCTCTCTCTGCCTGCGTTGCCCACCGCCCGCCCTCACAGGCCTCCGGCTCCTTGATGTCCAGCTGGATTCGCAGACTGTGCTGGTGGAGACAAGCCTCGGCAGTGAGGAAGTCCAAGGCCTTTTGGAGAACACGGGGCGCAAGGCGGTGCTGAAAGGAATGGGGGCTGCGTCCCCAGGTAACTTCCCCCCCCCGCTCCTTGCCCTCAAACTTGCCTTTCCTCCAGCATGTCTCTGCAACCAACTTTGAAACCAATGTCAAAGTAGGGCTCTGCAGAACCCACTTGAGAAAACCTGCTAAGTTTCCTTTTTAACCGGTTGTATGAGGATTTTAACGAAGACATTTTGAAGGGGAGGGACACCACCTTCCCCTAACTCTGGCTTAAACTCTACATCAGAGATCAGGGGTCATGGTTTGTTCTCCCTTCTGTCCTTCCTTTCCCAAGGGATGTTGGGAACTGGAGTTCTTTGAGAAACCTGGGGAATTTGATATCATGGAGAAAGCTGCTGGTTAGTCGAATGCTCGAGTCTTGCTTCTGCTGTAGATCCTCCCTCATCCACCACACTCAACACGTTGTCATTATCAAGGTTATTAGTTTCAGGCGACTTTGCTCCCTTCAACATCACTGGGGTTAGAGCCCCCGCATAGTTCAAAATCTGTGTATAATCCTTAGGCCTCCGCAAACATCACAACAATCCATAAGCAGTTGATTCACACAGACATCAGTGCTCTGTATCCGGGTTCTCTTCAATAGCATGGCCGATCCTTTCCATACTGTACCAGGGGTCATGAGCCTTAAAGGTCCTGATGGCCCCCACACACCCCCAATCTAGAGGCTGGAGTCAAGATGTTGTGTTTGGTGGCCCATAGTCCACTTTTGACACCTTAGGTGTTGAATGTCTGGGGTTCTGGGAGGGGCGAGGGGCACAGTTTTAATTAAATGTTTATTTACTGAATATTTGTTTCTTGAAAAAAAAATCAGTGTATAACCAGAACCTCAATGCTGCTCAAACCCTCGTCATTCAAAGGAGAAGTGTCTTTTTATTTAGAGAGGCACACCCCGAGAGGTTCTTGTGCTGAAAACGCATGCTAGGGATGAACGTCTCCGTTGTGCACGGAGGGGGTGCAAGCTCTTCTGTCCTCTTCTCCCTTCCTAGCTTCAGCGAGCAGTGCCGCCGTGGCCATCGTGTCTGGCCGTGGACTGGTGCAAGGTGTGGTGAGGTTCTTGCAGGTCAGCCCAGAGAAATGCCTCATCGACGGCACCGTAGACGGACTGGAGCCAGGGCCGCATGGCCTGCACGTTCACGAATTTGGGGACATCAGCAACTCCTGTGACAGGTGAGAGTGGCCGGCGGGCGACTTTGCATCTCCAGGGCAGAGGACGGAGGGCTTTTTTTTTTGGCTTTGCTGACGGTTGCCCTTCACTTTTGTTCCGAACAGCTGCGGGGACCACTTCAACCCCAACGGGAAATGCCACGGGGGACCGCAGGACGTACACCGAGTGAGTTGTCTGCGTTGTGGCACTGCAGATTTCCGGGCAAAGCCAGATCCGGGAATTATGGTTCTTCTGATGTTATGGACTCCAACCCCCACCATCCTTAGCCATGTGCTCTGCTGGCTATGGCTGATGGGAGTTGGAGTAAAAACAACAACAACACATTTAGATGGCCACAACTTCCCCAAGTTGTGTCTTAAAGCAATGATTTTTCTTGGGAATTTCAAAGCCTTTAAAAAAGTCTTACAGGAGTCGTAAAAGGAAGGGTATCGATCTTGTTTGCAGCCTGGGCTGTGAACCGATTCCAAGGATGTTTGTTGACGCCAATCTCCAAAAAAGACCTGAATGCTGGTCGTCCAGCATTTCTTTGCCTTCAGAATGAAGTGGAGCGGAAGGGTTGAAGGGCAGGGGAGGCTTTGCTGACGGTTGCCCTTCACTTTTGTTCCGAACAGCTGCGGGGACCACTTCAACCCCAACGGGAAATGCCACGGGGGACCGCAGGACGTACACCGAGTGAGTTGTCTGCGTTGTGGCACTGCAGATTTCCGGGCAAAGCCAGATCCGGGAATTATGGTTCTTCTGATGTTATGGACTCCAACCCCCACCAGCCCTAGCCATGTGCTCTGCTGGCTGTGGCTGATGGGAGTTGGAGTTTAAAAAAAAACCCAAAAAGACATTTAGATGGCCACAACTTCCCAAAGTTGGGTGTTAAGGCAATGATGTAAAATGGGCAGGTTTTCAGCACGTTGTAAGAGTGGGGAATGCTTAGAGTCAATCCTTCGGGATTTCCACTTGGATTTGTTTTTTTTCCTTGGGAATTTCAAAGACTTTAAAAAAGTCTTACAGGAGTCGTAAAAGGAAGGGTATCGATCTTGTTTGCAGCCTGGGCTGTGAACAGATTCCAAGGATGTTTGTCGACGCCAATCTCCAAAAAAGACCTGAATGCTGGTCGTCCAGCATTTCTTTGCCTTCAGAATGAAGTGGAGCGGAAGGGTTGAAGGGCAGGGGATGATCTTTTGCCTTGGCCGGTCAGGCTCAACAGTTTGGTGATGATGATGCTTTAGTTGACCGTTGACCGTAACAACCTTGCAGCCTTAAAGGATGATTAAGTAGCAGAAGAGAGCTTCCCAGAACTTAACGAGCCGGTCTCTTTCTAGCACACTGGAGATCTTGGGAACATCATCGCCACTGCCGATGGAAGAGCTTCCTTCCGGATGGAAGACGGACAACTGAAGGTGAGGCTTCCTGGAACAAAGGAACCGCTTAGAAAAGGGGACGATCGGCAGCTGGGTAGAGACAGTAAACTGGTTGTGAGAGTCTGCAGCAGCTGATCCTTCTCCGCTCATGAGCTAGTTCTCAAAACTAGCGATTTCTGCCCGGGCTTCACTCTGACTGTTTCTTCTCATCACTAGGCTGTTGTGAGCTCTTTGTTAATTGGCTGATTAGCTGCTCATTGAGAGCAGGGAGCCTTGTCCCAATGGCAGTTGTGAAGCTAATCCTAACTATAAATACCTTCACGGGTTGCTTACAAAAACCAAGCCACTTATTGGCACAGTAGGAGCCCCGTATCTGTGGAGGATTGGTTCCAGGCCCCACTCTGGATGCTGAAAACTATGGATAATAGCCAATGATATACATAGTATGGTAAAAGAAAAAATATATCCAGAAATATGTATTTTCACCTGTATTAACAAAACTGGCTACTAGAGGGAGCCAGAGGCCACGCTATATATTCTTCAACAACAAGAATATGTAGCATGGTCTCTGGCTCCCTCTAGTGGCCGGTTCTGGTAAACAAATTGTGGAAGTATGTACAGTATTTCTAGTTTTTTTCTTTTATTATTTTTAATATTTTCATACTGCAGATACTGATCCCAGAGATACGAGGGCCCTACTCTCTTCTGTAACTGACATGATATATCTGATTGAAAAACTTTCGTGTTGTGAAAATACTCTCTCTTTTGGCCTCTGGCAAGTCAAAACAGCGGGCAAGCCTCCCTTGTGTGTTCCATGATGTGGCTGATGTCATCTTGCCTCCTCCGGAGACATCACAAACTATAGTCATCTTTCTTAGGTCCCTGATATCATTGGGCGGTCCTTGGTGATTGACGCAGGGGAGGACGACCTGGGTCGAGGGAATCATCCTCTCTCAAAAGTCACCGGAAATTCTGGTGAGAGGTGAGCAACCACAGGACTTGAGACAGCTTCTAACACACATTCAGATCCTCCAGGAGAAGCTTCCAGCTCTTACTGTTTGGGGTAACTCATTTTTTTAAAGCATAGTCTGGAGATCTTACTTAGATTCCCAGTGTGGATAAAGTGATGGAAAGACTGAAATGAAAATAAATATATAAATGAAATAAAAAAAATGAAATAAATATATAAACGAAATAAATTACTAGTGGCTAGGGCGGGATACATGGCACGGCTTCTGTTTTGGGCATGAGTGGACTTTCTTTTGTCTGTTGTTTCATCCTGTATAGTTGTTATTTAATTATCACTGGGGAAGTGGCCTTGAGTTCTGTGAAAGGCAGCAGATAAACCATTTCAAACGAATAATTCCTCTGCGCGATTCTGGCAGAAGCAGCGTTTTGTCCTGAAAGACTCCGTTGACTGTTTTTCTTCCTCTCCTCCTTTTGCTTTTCAGAGTGGCCTGTGGAATCATCGCCCGCTCCGCCGGCCTCTTCGAAAACCCCAAGAAAATCTGTACCTGCGACGGGGTGACGCTGTGGGAAGAGCGGGAGTGGCCTCTGGCCGGGCCGGGCCGAGGGGCGGCCGGCCAACCGGCCTCTCATCTCTAAGAGGGCTTCCCTCTCTGCCGGCTTGTTCGACAACGTCCAAAGGGCTTCTGCAATCAACGAAGGGTGGGGAATAGTGGTATTATTTTGATATGTTGGACTACAACCCCCATAATCCTTGTGCTGGTTTGTAGTCCAATACATCTGGAAGGCACCCAACTGCAGAAGGTTTAGAAGAAGTAGCCATATTTGTCTCTGCTAAAAGGCCAAAAAGAAAAATTATTGGTGTAATGTAAACCCTAGATACCCTATCAGCAGTGGTACAGGTAGGGTAGGGGTGTTTCTGTGTGTGTGTGTGTGTATCAAATACATTCTTTTTCTGTGCTAAAGGGTAGGTAGGAGGTGTGGCTTCCTATAAGTCTAGTGGAGGTGACCTTTGAGCGTCTGCATGTTGTGCCATTTTTAAAACACTAAAGAAGAATTGTTCCTGCAGAAAAGCGAAACATTCCATATCCCTCTTTGGAGAGGATGTCCTGTAAACTGAGTCTCGGTGGTTTGATTCCCCGCTGGGTCTCCCAGGAGAAGAGAGAGGATGTCGTGTAAACAGAATCTTGGTGGTTTAGGTCTCTCACGGGGATTGATTCCCCGCTGGGTCTCCCAGGAGAAGAAGCTGCCCGGGAAGCCTTGGGCCAGCTGCGCAGTCGTCCCAGGGCACCCCCAGAAGAAGGAAAGGGTCAGCTACTTCGTGGAAAACCTTAAAAAGGGTCGCATAAGTCAGAACTTGTCGGCACATGATACAAAAGAATCCCTCGTAGAGGGAGAGATCGCTCCTTTGTTGAAATCATTGTTTCCTTTTCCTGGAAAACCTTTAAAAGGGTCTCATAAGTCAGAACTTGTCGGCACATGATATAAAAGAATCCCTCGTACAGGGAGAGATCGCTCCTTTGTTGAAATCATGGCCACCTGTACCGTGTCCCCAAAGGCCGTATCCGTATCTGGAACTGCCTTAACTTCAGATACTCTGGTTGTGTTTCTGAGAAACCCAGCCTCTACTGTTGTCGCAAGATCGTCTGTGGGTTTCAAAGGGCCTTTGGCAACATCCGTCGGTTGGAGACAACTTCTCACTGTGATTCTGTCTCGTAACTGCAAGGTGATGATTGTGTACCTCTTGGAAAATGACGAACGGGTAGCCTCCCTCATTCAGTGTGTGCTCAAGAGCCGAATTATTTTATTTGTCACCCAATTGTTTAATGTAGGGGTGTTGATACTGCTCAGGTCCTGGAGGCGCGGAGAAGAAATGTATGCATTCCCATATGTGCACACTCTGCATCTGTTCTTTTATACAATGGAAAGAGCCATTAAATCAGACGTTTTTCTTATCAGCCTATCCTTCCTTGTCCGGATTGATGCGGGTCCTTCCTGTGTCTATCTGAGAAGGGATAACAACCGTCTTTTGTGGGTCCAGAGGTTCTCCAGGAATGCAGCCATTTTTCGTGTGACCCTCTTGACGCCGACAGAAGCCCAAGGTGGCTGTTTGCAGCGCGAAATAGGATCCAGAATGCAAGTTCAGACGACAGGCCTGCCCGCACGCGGTGAAATTTTGTGCAGTCCGGCCAGTTCTTAAACATTCGGGATCTTCCGTGCAGTCGGTTCTAACGCTTGGTTCCCAAAGGCAGAACGGAAGAGCTCGTTTGCGTCTCAGTGGACCGTCCAAAAAATTTATTTATTTATTTATTTAAATAAAAAGGTTGCATGCTTTAGGCAAGGGTCAGAAAGGTGGGGGGGGATTGATCCATTTTTAGTAGAAATAAGCAAATTCGGTCTCCACGCACACCTAAATGCCAAGCAGTGCTATCAGGAAGGCATATACCATAATTACAGTATTCTAGAATGCCAGTCGAAAGAGCCCTGTCTCCAGAGATCTCTTCACGCTCCCCAGAGAAAAGGGCCAGGCAGATTTCGGAGGCCATTTGCAAACAACAGAGGTGGGAGGAAAGGGCAGGAGCATGCGCAGAGCGGCCCTGCTCCCCTCGGACTGACTGGAGGCGGGCGGAACTAGGACGAACGGCGCAGGCGCGGTGCGCGTCGCCAGACAGCGGCTCGGTCTCTTCTCCCCGAGGGAAAGCCGGCCGGGAGGGGGCGGGGCCGCGCAGGCGCAGCTGGCGAGGAAGCGGCCGTTCTCCCTCAGAGCTGGGAAACAGGAGCGAGGCCGCGCAGGCGCAGCTGGCGAGGAAGTGGCCGTTCTACTCCCTCAGAGCTGGGAACAGGGCTGGCGCCGCGCAGGCGCAAGGAAGCGGCCTTTCCCTCAGAGACGAGAAACAGGGGTGGGGCCGCGCAGGCGCAGCTCGCGGGGAAGCGGCCTTTCCCTCAGAGACGGGAAACAAGGGTAGGG